GTATTTTGATTCGTGTAGCTTTTGCACTTTGGTAACTTGTTTGACTCATTGGTTAACTCTAAACCGAGGCCTTTTGGGGCTATCACTTCGCCTATCACTTGAGTTGTATCCGGAAATTCTTTGAGGTTGCTTTCAGCGAAGGCACACTGATATATTTCCGAGTTATTCGATTCGCGGTATTTGAGTAATTTTGAATTCGGACTGCAGCATATTTGAACGGCACTCGCTTTTAAAATGCCACTTAATATTAGGCACGTTAAAGTTAGTCCGATGACCATTGTTTACGCCTTTGATTTTATTCTCAATGACCAATTTCCGAGCTTGTGTAATGTTTGTATCTATCTTTCTTAGAACGGCCTTTTCATATCTAATCATTGAATCGTTATCGGGCAATATAAACTTCGAACCGCTTGCATTTGGCAGATTTACCGAACTGAAGTCTTCGCGATTCCTTCGCGAGCAAATGCGAATGTTTATGGGTAAACATTTGGCGCACACGCATACGGATAGAAATCGATGTACACGTATAGGGAATACATTTATGGATTCGTAAACTTATACAAATAAGTTATACCCCATGGAGTGTTGAACACTTAGCATGCTGGGTGCTCAAGTAGACATTCATCCAAATGGCTACATATTTACCTAGGTACGTTTAGATATATCTACACAGTTGCCCCTCATTTCAATTAATAACTTTGTACACTAGTTTCAAGTGCTAGAACAATATGGTGTTTTCTTTTTGTAATAAAATTGATCAGAAGTTTGTAATGCAATGAAGGAGACATTTACGACTCTATAAAGTACATATACATTTATATTTTTGATTTGCATGACTAGTCGAGTTGATATAGCCATGTCTGTCTAAATTTTTTTTACTGTTTGCAAGCTCCGTTTAAAAGCTATGCATTTTATTGGTTTCTTATTCTTATTAGATTGTGTAGGAAAAAGACTTTTTCGATGTCTGAAATAGTTTACGACATACAAATATACAAAGTTAGTTAAAACACTTCGACTTCTATATTTTGCCGGTAAGATAAATGGTCCGGTTTTAAAAATAATGTCTTATATAAAAGCTAATTAAATTTACAGCGTACTTAAGTAAAATTTTACAAATTTTAAATTTCGTGAACTGATTTTATTTTAAAGTTTGGCTGGAAGAGCCTATGGGGAAACTTGTGAAAAAAAAGTTTATAGTTTTGAAAAGGTTGCCTTTTCGTAAGGGTACGTTTTTTTAAGAACTCCTTGATCAGATCATAAATTTCGAATCTCTAGCCTTTATAGTTTCTGAAATCTCGTCGCTTGTACGGATAAACGGTCAAACGGACAGACAGATGAACATGGGTAGTACGACTCGGTTAATGATCCTGATAGAGAAGAACACTTTATAGAGTCGAAAATACGGGTACAAAAAAAGTTTTTAAAATAGCCCGATGGAAAGCACTTTAAACTCGATTCCCATGCTTTAATTTTTTGTGTAGCAAAAATTTGATTATTTTTTTTTGTATTTATTTTTTAATTACTTATTTACACAATTTTAGCCACAGCTGAAGACGCATAAGACAAGACGTTTCAGCAACGGGAATCGTGTTTTCACAATAACATCTTGACTCTTTCTGTTTTTAAATCAATTTTTAAATCAATACGAATTTAGAGTTATTTTTTATGTATTTTATTCTCAAAGTTCAAAATATTTATTTCTTGCACGGGAATCGATTGGCACTCCTAAAAAGCTGTTCCATTTCAACATTCCTAATCGAATGAAAACAACAAACCAAAAATTTGTTATGTACGTCAAGTGAAAATATTTTCCGAGTCAAAGTGAAATTTGTATTATTGATAGCATGTTGTAAGGCGACTTCATTATTTTGTAGCTAAATGCCATTTTTTATCGAAACGCAAAGTTGAATACGTGAGCAATATAAATAAGTCGGTGAATGCAGTGACTAACAAAGTCATCCGAAAGTAAAGATAAATAAACATTTTTTAAACGAAGAACACTAAATTTTCACTGTGAATAATGATGACTGAAAAGTTAAATTCTGGGCACACTAATTTAACAAGCAAGGGGTTTGTATATTTAATATTTATTTGTTTTTGGTTTACAAAAGTTTGCTTATGTATGCTGGTATTTAGTTTACTTCTTAATCCGTTGAGTAATTTAGATGGGAAAGTACAATTTTTTTTGGAATCTTTAGCCGAAAATGTTATTTTTTATATTTGTTCCCATGATTAGCTTTTAATTGACAACATAATAAACTGCCGATTGATGTTATCTAATAAAATAAAACATAAACAATGCTATTTACACTTGATTTTAAGTGATGTGTGTGCTTAACCGAATATTTGTACTTCTATATGTATGTATAATGTACCTACTTATGTATATACATATGTAGTTGCACATGTGCACTCGTGGACATATTGGCCGCAAAACAAGTTGGCTAATGTGTACTGGCTAAAAACATACATAAATATGCAATATATGCACCGCTTCTCAACTTATTTGCGATTCTTAACTTTTGTGGATCAAGCCAAACTCGTTTTATGAAAACTCATCAGCAGCGTGAAAACAGTTATTGCTCGTGGGCTGCCATTTTAAAATTTTTGGGAAGCGTTTCTTTTTCTATTCTCTATTATGAAAAATGTGAAAAAGACATGAAGTATAAGCATTTATTTTAACAATTATAAATTATATATTTCCTTTTAAAATTATAAGTATTAATATATTAAGAATATATGTGGCTTTCTAAAGAGTACCTTTTACCAACATACATATATGTACATATGCACATACATACATACGCATCTACCTACAATAAAGTGATTTTTACTTATTAACCATTCATTTTATTTATTTAGGCTTATAAATGATCTTCAAATTGCTGGGAACACAAGTGACGATATGGGCTGGAAATCAAAGCTGAAGCTGCCGCCAAAGGACAACCGATTCAAAACAACTGTGAGACTCCAATAACACTCAAAATTAGATAGAAAGCAAACTTCGGCAGGCCGAAACGTTCTAAAAACTATATCCATTTTTCGGATCTTTCCTTTGTTAGTCGTCCGATGTTATAGTACTTTATATACATTTTTGAAATCGAAACAAACTACGGAGTATTGTAATTTATTTTCAATCAATTTTCCAATTGCTAAATTTCCTCTAGATATCTTATAAGCTAATACACAAGTTTCCGTAGAACAGAGTCACAAGTGTCTCATTCCGCTGGGTTGTAAATAAATAAATAACTTGATCTTATTTTTCAGGATGTGACCGATACGCGTGGAAATGAGTTTGAGGAGTTTTGCCTTAAAAGAGAACTGCTTATGGGTATTTTCGAGAAGGGTTGGGAGCGCCCTTCGCCAATTCAGGAAGCAGCTATTCCTATAGCTTTAAGTGGAAAAGATGTACTGGCTCGGGCCAAGAACGGTACTGGCAAAACAGGAGCCTACTGTATCCCAGTCTTAGAACAAATAGATCCAACTAAGGACTACATTCAGGCACTAGTGATGGTCCCCACCCGAGAATTGGCGCTACAAACTTCACAGATTTGTATTGAGCTGGCGAAACATCTTGATATCCGGGTAATGGTCACAACAGGAGGAACAATTCTAAAGGATGACATTCTTCGTATATATCAAAAAGGTGAGTTTGATTGTTAAATCGCTTATGCCACATTCAGTGCTCTAATGACGATTCTCATTTGCGTTTATAATTGCAGTACAATTAATAATTGCCACTCCCGGACGAATATTAGATCTGATGGACAAGAAAGTTGCTGATATGTCGCATTGCAGGATATTAGTTTTGGATGAGGCCGATAAACTATTGTCGCTTGATTTTCAAGGCATGCTGGATCATGTTATACTAAAGTTACCAAAGGATCCACAGATCTTGCTATTTTCCGCAACATTTCCACTAACTGTCAAGAATTTCATGGAGAAGCATTTACGCGAGCCTTACGAAATAAACCTGATGGAGGAGCTAACATTAAAGGGTGTCACTCAGTACTACGCATTTGTACAAGAGCGCCAGAAAGTACATTGCTTGAATACACTGTTTTCTAAGCTGCAAATCAATCAGTCTATTATATTCTGTAATTCCACGCAACGTGTTGAGTTATTAGCTAAAAAAATCACAGAGCTCGGCTATTGCTGTTATTATATTCACGCAAAAATGGCCCAGGCACATAGAAACCGAGTGTTCCACGATTTCCGTCAAGGGCTCTGTCGGAATCTGGTGTGCTCGGATCTGTTTACTCGAGGAATAGACGTTCAGGCCGTGAATGTAGTGATCAATTTCGATTTTCCCCGAATGGCAGAGACGTACTTGCATCGAATTGGTCGCTCGGGACGTTTCGGTCATTTGGGTATGTAGCTTTTCCTTCAATACTATAATAAATAATTTCTGACAATCAATTTTTTGAATCTATTTTAAGGTATTGCTATAAATCTAATAACCTATGAGGATCGGTTTGACCTGCATCGGATTGAAAAAGAACTTGGTACCGAAATAAAGCCTATTCCGAAGGTCATAGACCCCGCCCTATATGTCGCAAACATCGGCGCATCCGTTGGAGATCACAACAGCGATCTGAACAATTCTGCAAATGAGGAGGGCAATGTTAGCAAATAAAACGGATGAAACTGTAACACTAGGATCTGAAGTAGAGTCTAAATCATGAAATCAATAAAAAAAGATGAAATATTTCAGAGAACAAAATTGAAAAGCACTTTAATTTTTAATTTGCGCTAATATATGAACAAGAACATACATACATTACTTGGGGATTATTGCTTACATGTACATATGGGAGAAAATAACGAAAAACAAAGCACTACATATTAATACTGACAAAAACATTTTTGTGATGACGACAGTTTAGTATCGGCAGCCATAGGTAAAAAGTCGTCCGCTCTGCTGGATTTCAAACATAATCATGATCGGTCTCTTTATAGATATTCTGTAGATCTTCAATAAAAAGTCACAAAACAAAATATTATAATTTAAATAAAATTTATTTATTAGCATCCAAAATTGTAAGCTTTGCTTGTCAGAGAATATTTACAATAAATGTACAATATTAAACAAATCATATACATATAGTCATAAACTTTAAAACTTTACGTATTAAATATGTTTGATGAGGAGGAAGATGAGTCTGATTGATCAAAGTCAATTTTCGCATAAGTATTTCCGTCTTCCGGGCATGCAGACACTGGCGGAGATTCACGCGAACCTCTCTTTGTGTATTTTGCTGGATTTTGGCCGCTACAATGGGGAAGATCTAGGCTTGCGTAGTGAAGCTCCGGCTGGGATATGCGTGAAGAAGATCTTGAGGGGAAATTCAAATCTTTAATTTGGAGAATGTTCGGTTGTGTACTTGAATCTATGCTTTTCGAGTCCAATGTTTTTGAATAGATATTGAATTTGGTGACTGAGCTGGTAGCATTATCGTGAATCGTATTTACACTTTCTGTATGTCTATGCTGTCGTTCTAAAATATCTTTGAGAATACCCTTTTGGTATAGCTTTGATGAGGTAAGGGAACTGTCGCTTTTTATTTGAAGAATTTTGTAGCCAACTTCGTTAGATTTTGTAAATTCATTCGATTTATCCTTAATTTGTGTATAGTCATCACTACTAATTGAATGTACCAATTTCTTTTCCTCATGGCAACCTATATTCAAATTGTTGTTCTCAATTATTTTTTCTTCCACATTGTTTTGTTTATCGCTTTGCACGGTTAAGGTTTCACGGTTAATGTCGTTTTGTGGATATACATCAAGGTTATTACTTTCTATGGTTGTCGTTTCTAAACTAATAGGCTTTTCATTTAAAGGGGAATTAGGCTTTTTTTCGTCGCATTCGGTTTGTTCTCTCCATTTCTCAGTAGCAATGTTGTATGTACTCATTTTATTAACATCGTGTACTGGTATTTCGGCGTTGTCTTTTAGCTTGAGCTTTTCTATTTTACTTGGAAGGCAAATCGTACTGGGAATATATGCATTACCAACTGGTTTCATTTCTAGGTATCCACCCTCAGAACTGCTTGCAATATTATTCATTTTGGTTCCATTGAATATGTCTTTCTGACTTGTGGCGTGCAAAGTTAAACTCGAACTGTCGTTTCTGTTGTTTGTGGGGAAAACATTTTCAATGTTTTTGGGAATTTCAATATTTTTGATGAACTTCTGCTTTTCCAAATTGGTTGCTTGTGAAAAGTCAATTTCCATTAAGTCACTCATTCGGTCTGGGTTTATCTGATTCTTCAGACTCAAGAGTGGAGCACTTGTAGATTTCTTTTCTCGACTTGCACTTGTTCCGCAGTTTGATCCTTCCTTTGTAATGCTACTATGACTTCTATTCGTCCCGAACTCATGTTTATTATCCTCTACAAGTACAACTCGTTGCAAGTCGCACCGCGGTATCTTGGACTTGGAGCCAACCGAGTATGCTCGTACACGATTCGAATTTTGTCCCGTATCATTTAAGTATCCTAGGCGTTTGTTCAACTTTAAATGCTCAACTTTATTTCCTATTGAATAAGCACGAATAGGACGACCACATCTGCAAAAACAAAAAAATTTCGTTTACATCAGTTTGCTAATCTGAAAAGTGTATACTTACTGATTATCAGAATCTAGATCAAAGTCCTTAGCAAGTTTTTCGGATGTGTGCTCAGGAAAGTCAAAATGCAAGTTTGCATCTTCTGAGCTTTGCAACTCAACCTTCTCTTTTTCATGCATAGCATCACCAAATATGCTCGGTTTAATGGGTGTCATCGGTATGTAGTTTGGGTCACTTTCTATAATCATAAATAAAAAAACAAGACGTTAGATGCCTTGTATTGTGTATTATACTTCGAATAGTTGCATTACCACTTTGTTCGTTGCCTTTGCTAAATTCCGCACTTGCGAAGTCATCAATGTTTTCCTCAGGAATGGCCGTTTTTGATGATCGGGTGCTGAAAAATTGATTTTGTTAAATTGTTTTTTAAATTTCTTTAAACGTTTCAACTGGAACTATTTTATATGTTAACTGGAATCAATAACTTACTTTAAACGGTAGTGGCTAAAACTTCCATTATCATCGGAATCATCGATACTAATTGACGATTCAGATTCTGAGCATCTCGGTGGCATGGTGAATGTTGGACTATTACTGTGTTTGTTAGTTGAGTGCGGACGGATACCAGAAATAGTGTTGGATCTAAGGCCATGATTGGATCCAAAGTATGTTTGATTACTGGACTCGCTTAGTGTTCCATTTCTAGTTGGTAAACTATCGCACCTCTCCCTTCCGAAGCCTAAAATGGAAAAATTATATATTATTTTTAAACAACTCTTATAAATTTACATATGTTAATCATTTTATGATTTCGTTATTTTTTTTATTGGTACTTACTGTAATTATGGGGAGAACTGCAATTCCTCAGTTCGAGTGAGTTTTGGCGATTTTGAATAACGTTTATCGGTTTAGAAGCTTCGTTTGCAGATGAGGATCGCTTCCTCATAGGTTCATGGCTAATATCAGGTCTGGCTTGATAAACATTTATTAAATTCGTGTTGGACTCTGTTTTGGCTGACATAGCGCTGTAAATACAAAAACATAAAATTAAAATTAACAAGGGAAAAGAAATGAATAGCATTCAAACACCCAGATAAATATGTCTAAAGCCTTTTTCTAAATTTTGTATTAACCGACGCCGTCAACCGAACATTTTAAGGCTTGCTTTTTCCTCTTCTATTTTTACAATTTCAATTAGTAATTGTACAAGATTGGTAAAGCTGTACTGAGTCGATCGGGCTTTGATACGACTTATTTATTAGATAATTGAATTATCTTTGATAACGATAATTTTAGAAACAAATTGTTTTACATCTTTTAATATCATTGGTTATTAGTCATAAAATTTACTTTAAAAACATTTTTTTTGTCCCCTAACTGATGTCTCTAATACTGTGCAACTTTGTAAGAGTTCTAGGCTATAACCGCAATGTTGATACTGGTTTCTGAGAGTAATCATCGAAACTAGTAAACGTGAGATAAGCTAGAAAAAAAATTTCGATTGTTACATTTTCTATGTTGCCCTGCCTAATGTAACCCTAATAATACAATGTAATTTCTATAAAACCTATAACCTAGTCTAGTCGTATGATATAATTACCAATTACCTTAATATCGTATTGTGCATATTTGTAGCAATGGCTGCATTATCCGTTTCCATCCACAGCTCGCCAGATCCTAGGACACTCTGACGGCCGAGTTCCATGTAGAAAATACATTGAGGGGATGCATGGCCGCATCTGGAATTATACATTTTGCTTACAGTTCTTAACAAAATAGACTGCTTTTTATAACTTACCGCCTTATCGTTGTTAAAAGAATTTCAATGCTAGCGAGTCGATCATCGCCATTAGCAGTCTTTTCCGGTCCTATACATACGAACGTCAGGGATTTTGAAGTAAGGCAGCAGTGATACGTTCCAGTGATTCCCACTTTCTCCGACATTCCCTTCTTTTGAATAACAACTTGCCAAACTTGGTCTATAAGGAGAAAATGTTGCATTAACTGATTGAGAGTAGCTATTATTGTTTAGCTTACCATAAGCTGAATATACTTGGCCATTCATATTGGCTATATTTCTTTGTAGAAACAATAGTTTATCCAACCATTTGCGTAAATCATTTTCGCTTTCGAGGACGATTCCAAAGCCGCCTTCTCTCGAGGATAGCACAATGACAAATCTGTGCTTGGTGTCCAAACGACGGTTTATGTTGAAACAATTCTTCAGGTAGATAACTCTTTTTGGTTCTGCCCTCTGCAGGAACTTTTTTTCGGTATCGTAGTATTCCAAACGGGCCGAGGAATTGCATGTTTCCTCGTACAATACGAAGAATTTCTTTTTCATGGTCTTTAACTTTTTGTGGTAGCCGCTCAAAACCATTCCATCATCCGATATTGAGGCCATGATTTCAGAATTTAAATCCTGAAATACAAAAGACACTTCAGTATAAAACAACATATATATGTTAGAGATATTTCCATCATTTTTGTATTGATTTAATGGGCAAATTTTGCTTTCACTTTCTGGGGCCGTGATTGATGTACATATGTACATACATATTTATAAGACAACTCGTAGTTAATTTACACACCTAAGTATCATTTTTGCAGAGTTCGTTTTTCAAATTATTAATAAATATTATACACAAGTATCTGGCCCGACACACACTATTTCTAATCACCGGAACAATAGATAGATTTTTACAAAACAATCACGCCAAAAACATTTGCAATGTCGCGTTGCCAAAAGTCCTTGCAGTCTGTCAACATCATACGTCACATCAAAATACGCAATTACGTCGTTTATGTCAATAGTTCCAGTGCAACTTATGCGGCGACAGATTAGAATGAAAATCAAAATCAAATGTAAGCGATGGAATTCATAATTGGCTTACTGTACACTTTGTTTATTTCAGTTTCTGCGCAATGCATTAAGATAACCATTGCTAGATGCTGATTTTATTATACATATACGTATGCGCGTATGTTTGTACATATTTTGTTTTATAGATGAGCATCATAAATATATATGTATATATATCTGAGGAATTCTAATACATCTTACATACATATGTATCTACGAGTTATTTTTCTCTGTAGGCATGTATGCACAAACAAATATACATATGGCACTCTAGTGGTATCATTTACAAACGCACATGGATATGGGAAATAATACCCAAACGGATATTTAACTAAGGAAACTATTACCTAAAGCGTCTTGCTGCTTGGGTCACTAAGATTTCCAATATCAGGGTTTACAAGTAATCCTCTTGATACATTTAGGATTTGTATTATTATTGTTCACCAACGCAATTCTTTATTATCAAACCCACATTTATTCGGGATGACACTTTGCAGTTATCGTTATCGCAGCTTAGGAAAAAAATGGTATGCGGCAACTATCGGAACTATCGCATTAATCGAATACATTTAGTGAACGTTCATGTAAAATATTTCTTTCAAAATGCATTATTCATAGTTAGCGTTGATGTAAGATTATTATAAGGAAACTAAAATTTAAAGATTCTGTTGTAAGGAATTTCTGTTATCAAAATTCTTAGAATTTAATATTCTGAGCATTTTATTACTTTATTAAAAAAAACTGGTAATTAATAATTATATATAATTATCATTTGATATATATTTTAACAAAGATCAAAACAATAAAATAAAAAACTTTTTAATGTTGTGCAAGCCGATTTCGTAAGTATATGATTTTTAAAATCTTTGCGGGTCCTTTGCCAGTAACGGTCTAAAAGAATCTCTCGATGACTTAATAATTGACAATAATTAAAAAGTTACAGGTTTTTGTGTATTGATTTTATTTTTTAATGGTTACTATATTTTTAAATACAATTTGAATATTTTATTTGTTGTAATAATTTAACAATACATGCCGTATTGTTGGTAAGCTTTAGTTTTTGTGACTGACTAAGGAGGAAAAAGTCGTTCTCTACCGCGTTCTATTATTTGTGTTATTATGTGCTTCATAGTCCATGACTTCCTCATAAATTAGCTCCTTCCATTGCTCCACAGTATGCTCTCGCTCGTCTACACTATGATCATATGGCTCCGGAGCGGGCTAAAAAATGAAATGGAAAGCGAATATTAAATTTAAGCGAGGTTTTTGTAATTCCGTCGTTTTATATTTATATATACTTACAGCATCCACTTCTTCAGCATCATACCAGACGTTGATATATTCATGCTTCAAAGCTTCGTCCACAGATATCCGCTGCTCTGGATCAATGACTAGCATTTTACTAAGAAGATTTCTAGCGTCAGAAGCCTTCCTGCGGCTATTCTGATTATTATCATTGGGGAACAACCCATCGGGGAAAAGTCTATCAAATGAGTATCCAGTGTATCTAGGACGATTTTCCACATAGTTTCGGACGGTTGGCTGTAACCGCTGCATAAATGAGGGAGATGGAGTACCTAATTGCTCTGAAACGAAAAATAATAAACACTCTTTTAAGCAAGAATCAATTAGGATTTATATTGGTAATTTACCAATGATTTTATTCCACTGATCTATATGATCCGTTCCAGGAAACAGTACGCCACCCCTTATCATTTCTCCCATAATGCACCCCACGGACCATATATCCACATTCTCTGTGTAGCCCATTCCCAAAATGACCTCTGGAGCCCGGTAGTATCGGGTGACCACATAGGGAGTCATCATGAAGGTAGTCCCTGCAGTACGTGCCAGACCGAAGTCTAAAATTTTTAGAGTGCAGTCTGCCTTTACAACTATATTGGATGGTTTTAAGTCCTGTAAATAAAATAAAAGCAATTTATTTATTGTTGCTCTTCGGCAAATATACGACCTATTTATTTGAACTGCTATTTTGATAATTAATGTTTTGTCAAAAAAGTAGTTCCAATAATATACTGTACTCTGTGAATTATTCCAGCTGAGTGTAAATGTTTTATTCCACACAACATTTGGTAAAGCAAATAAGACATCCTGTCGTGATCCAAATCCATTTGAATAACTTGGCAGAGATTAGCATCCATCAGCTCCATGACAAGGTAAACATCCTGAAACTCTTCCAAGTTCCTTTGCGGAGTGAAAGCATTTAGCAATCCAATTATCTAATGACAAAAGTTATTTAATAACAAACTGCGTTTCTAAGCCGAGATTTTAATTACGTTTTTATGGTTGACAAGCTTCATTAGCTTAAATTCCCTATATGCTCTCTTAGCATGGGTTACATTTTGGAATGGTCGAGACAGTTTTTTAATCGCCACATTTTGCTCGGTGATAGTATCGTAAGCAGCGCTATAAAATATTTAGAAATGTTTGTATAAATTAGCTACTCATTTATTTTGAGCTTAAAAATTTACTTATCTGTTAGAAGAATTAATAAACTTTAAACTTACTGTTTCTTAAAATTGTCTTGTTAAAATGACATGAACTTTTGGAGACTAAGTAGAAATGTTTTGGGTATTCCCGAAACGACTGAATCTCAACAGAGTGGCTGGGTTTGCTTTTCAGCAGGTGAGAGATTCAGACGTTTCGGGAATACTCAAGTTGTCAATAAAACAATTTTCCATATTTTTACTTATCCAACAAAAAAGAAGAAATGTTTGTGTAATTTTTTATTAAAATAATAATAAAAAGATGGATAACTCAAAATTGTTTTAACAAACTTTGCAATCACTAGATATTTTTCTAACAACCCTAATTAAACCGTTTTAAAAATGGTCTTAGAGTACCAGTACAATGAGGTAACATTTATAATTTAAAATCAATATATAGGCAACTCACCATACGATTCCTTGGGCACCAGATCCTATAGGCCTTAAATTAATGTACCGACTATGAATGGTAAAGTTGGTATCTCCCACTTCCACGGTGTAGTGTTGCTGATTACAAGCTGTCATTTTATACTGTTTTTATTTATTACTTTTAGTTGAAAGCAAGGAGCATATCGGCCTTTAGTGGAAAGAGAAAATAAGATAAATCAATAAAAACACAACTTCAATAAGATATATAAGTATTTTATACATGTAAGTAGAAGCAGAAAGATACAAATGGTTGTTTCTAAAGAGGTGGAGGCAGTTTTCATAAAATTTTGTAAGAGATTAGGGGGTAGAAAAACATTAACTTCACTGGCCTTATTCGGGCAAAATGTTATGGACATTAAATGGGTCTGTTGTCGCGAAGGGTGAATAGGGGAGGCCAGACGATTTTGTTGGATAGTGTGGTTTGACTTTATTCTTATACTCGATGAGCTTATGAAACGTATGAAAAAGGAATGTAATAAGATTTTGATTAAAAATTAGTCAAAAAAGATACAATTGCATAACGCAACACCTATTTTAACCGAATGTGACTGACCATCCTTCATTGATAACGATTGAAATGTTTTTCGGATATTGCAAAGTATTTCATAAAAACACCAATCATATAATCTATTCAATCCGCTTATCCATTCCGTAGTTTAAGTGTCTAGCGGCACGCACAGAAAAAAATGATTTAAAATCGATAAGTCGGCTTAAACATAAAAGCACGGAATGTTGGACCACTGCGATGTATGTACATAAGTTCATATGTATGCATGCCTGTCTAAATATGTACACACACACACACAATTTGTGAACAGTTGTAAACTTCTTCCAGTATACAGATGTATGTAACATGTAAACTACAAATGTGGATCGATAATTTACAAAAAATGTTCAAATGTCCTTTTAAATAGAATCTATTGATTAGATTCATACATTGAAAATGCCGTCGTTTGTATTTAAGATAATATAGCGGTCTTTGGGTAGTGTCAATATGTAAACGTTGGATACTTGCGCATACATAGGTACATACACTTTGGGAAGTTGAGTTTTTATGTTAAATATCAATAATTTCTTCATCACAGGCACAACTGCCATTTATTTCAATCGATTATTGCACGTTTTGCTGGACAGTGTTTAGGGCTCGGTGTCTTATGTGGATGGAATGTAATAGAATATTTATTTACCATTTACCGCAGAGAATTGACCGATTTTCTTGTGAAAATAAAAAAAATCGATTTTTTACTTATTTTATTCTATACACTGGGCACTCAAAGTCGCAGACATTTTAAAATTGATTGATTTTATAGAAATATTAGAAACAACTATCTTCGGCACTTTCGCATGAGAATAATTGTACATGGATACAATACAATATACGAAAATCTATTGGAATATTCGATCACAACAAAGTTATTTAAATCGGTGTGACCAGATTGTACTAGGGTTAAATGGGCAAGCGATTACCATCAACCAGACTGACTTCTTTAAAATGGTAAAAAAAAGATGGTAAATGTTTAATCTCTTTGAATAGAATGAGTATTAACAGAAAAAAATCAAATACAGTTGAAGAAAATGCACTTTAAATTAGAAGCACTCAAATTAAACAAGAGGAGAAGGCTGCCGGTTTTAGTGTTCTGTTTTACCGTTCCATTTGATGAAAGTGTTTTGCAACGATGTATCGACTATTAATCGAACGTCGAATGACAAATCAGCACTGTCATAACTAATGATAAATAAAAACAATAGAAACATTTTGCGATATGAAGACGGTTGGTTTTTGTGATGATTCACAAACTGATAAGTGCTAATTGCTACCTTTTTTTCAGTCATCACCAACACTAAAATATCTCTTGGAGAAGGATGTGCAGGTGTCGAAACATTTTGTTGTTGCCGTGTCCAACCTGTCTTTCTTTAAATCCCTGCGTATACACAGCAGATTCCTAGAAATATCCTGCGATGGAATCGCCTGGTTTGTCTCATGGATTGCGTTTATATGGTTGCTCAGCTCGAAGGGCTTGTATCAAATGCAAGTCAATATGCTGTTGGGGCTAATACTAGACGTTGTTGTTGTGGCTGTATTGAAAGCGCTAGTTCGGCGAAGAAGGCCGGTTGCCAGCAAGGATATGCTTACCATCGGACCCGACAAGTTCAGTTTTCCCTCGGGCCACGCCTCCAGAGCATTCTATGTGCTTTTCTTCTTCACAAAGCTGTATCCCCTTCATATTATATTCCTGCTACCGGTCACAGCGTGGGCCGTAAGCGTCGCCATCTCTCGACTTGTCCTCCAACGTCATTATGTTTTGGATATTTGCGCTGGAGCAGTCATCGGAATTCTGGAAGGATTAATCATTGGCTTGCTTTGGGTCAGTGAGGAAACGGCCTTCAGCATTGTTGGCTTTCTTTCGGAGGAAAACGTTGACACCGCGGAGTAACCAAAATTGAAAAAATATTCTCAAAAGCAATAGATAACTAAATCATTACTTATGCTTTTACCAAATACATTGTTAATAGTACATAAAAACATTGTTTGCCATTTTTGTTACAAATATGAACACAGAAAAAGTTTTTGGGGCCGGAACTGTTTAACAATTATATTAAATGATATTTATTTTTATCAATTAGGATTGTTTCTGTTCGAGGTGTTTTAAAATAAAATTAAAAATAAGTCGTGTAAAGCAAAATGAATTAAATTTATACATTATTTAATGATTTTTTGTCTACCTTAAATTGTATATAAATCAGTTTGTCACAACATATATATTTGAAATTATATATTTTAGATTTGTATACTTCAATTTCTTTGTCTTGAATATATGCAGTACAAAATATATCGATTCATCGATAAGAAGTCAACAACCCCAATCGCTGCCATGAAGGGATGAAAATTTGTATGTTGCAAGTTTTCGCGAAAGGATAAATACAAAAATATTTTCAGGACAGTCGGCATGTCAATTGGATTATTGAAATAACAAAAAGAAACATATTGAAAGTCAGGGATTTTGGAATATGGACACAATATCGTCATTTATTCTGCGTTTTTTGCTCCTACTTTTATTAAAATGGAAGGATGTGGGGAGCCATAATGTGGACTCACGAATATACGGGTAGGTATTTACTGACAAAAACTAAAACACAAGAAACTTTTATTGCTTGTTTGAGTGCCTTAAATTTCCTTTTAAATCAGGTGTTAATATTTTTTTTTAAATGAATATAAACCATAGAATTTAAAAGGTTTTAAGTTATTTCTTCTCAGTTTTTAAAGTAAAAAGTAAATTTAATATCTATTTTACTACTTAAACATTGTTCAAATGTAATATTGTTATTGTTTTTCAGGTTTCAGCAGTCATCAGGGATTTGTCATATTTACAATGGCACTATTTGTCGAGATGTTTTGAGCAATGCCCATGTTTTTGTATCCCCCAATCTCACCATGAACGACTTGGAGGAGCGATTAAAAGCCGCATATGGCGTAATAAAGGAATCCAAGTAAATACTACCATTTAACACAATTCAAACTGATTCTAATTGCTTCCTTTTCAGAGATATGAATGCGAATTGTCGCATGTATGCTTTGCCCAGTTTATGTTTCAGTTCTATGCCGATTTGCAGAACTCCTGAACGCACGAATTTATTGTACTTTGCCAACGTGGCTACAAACGCAAAACAGTATAAAAATGCCAATGTCACAATTCGCCGAAAGAGAACAAAAACCAAAGATATTAAAAACATCAACATTTTTAAGAAGAAATCCACCATCTATGAAGATGTGTTCAGCACTGATATTTCGAGTAAATACCCACCAACCAGAGAGTCTGAAAACCTAAAACGCATTTGCCGGGAGGAGTGCGAACTCCTAGAAAACGAGCTTTGTCAGAAGGAGTACGCAATCGCCAAACGGCATCCAGTCATCGGAATGGTTGGAGTCGAGGACTGTCAAAAGTTGCCCCAACACAAGGACTGCCTGTCCTTGGGCATAACCATTGAGGTGGATAAAACGGAGAACTGTTACTGGGAGGACGGATCGAGCTATAGAGGAGTTTCGAACGTGTCCGCCTCCGGAAAGCCGTGCTTAAGATGGTCTTGGTTAATGAAAGAAATCTCCGATTTTCCCGAGCTCATCGGTCAGAACTATTGCAGGTAATTGTCTGGGTCTGAAAGCATCCAATTTAAGATCTTAGACGAAGGAAAAGAAACAGATCTTTAAAGCTTTATATTTCCAATTTAAATAGTTATCAGATCATAATACACAAAGTATAAAAACGTTATTTCGTTTTCTAGCAAAATATTATATATATGACATTTAATTCAATTACTTTTTACAATTAATTTTTTTAGAAATCCAGGCAGTGTGGAAAACAGCCCTTGGTGTTTTGTGGATTCTTCGCGTGAGCGCATAATAGAAATTTGTGATATTCCAAAATGTGCAGATAAAATTTGGATTGCCATTGTCGGAACTACCGCAGCCACCATTTTAATTTTTATAGTCATTTTTGCAGTAATACTTTTCAAGAGGAGAACTATCATGCACTATGGTATGAGGAATATTCATAACGTAAGTATTAACTTGGGCCTTTAATCATAGCTTACACTTTTAAACTAAAAAGACAATTTACTCCAAAATAAAAAGTTTCGTTTTACGGAGTCCCTGATTTACAAAATGACATAAAAAATTATGTTTATTAACATTACTACTTAAAAAAAATGAATTATTGTATTATAAGCATTACTTTTATAAAAAAAGTTAATGTTTTTATAAATCATTAATTTTTTTGGAAAGTATTACCTTATTAAGCATAACTTAAATTTATAATAAAGAAATGAGCTTTAAGTAGCATTGATTAAAGCTAATGATACTAAAAATTTGTTAGAAAGTAATGCTAATTTTTCTAATGAGTACCTTTTAATCCTTTGAGTCATAACATACTAAATTTGTTTCAGATCAATACACCCAGCGCCGATAAAAACATTTACGGGAATTCACAGCTAAATAATGCTCAAGATGTTGGCAGAGGCAACATAGGCAATTTATCCGATCATGTTGCTCTGAACTCTAAGCTTATAGAAAGGAACACCCTCCTAAGAATATCTCATTTTACTCTGCAAGATGTTGAGTTCTTGGAAGAACTGGGCGAAGGAGCTTTTGGTACGTAACTTCAGTTTAAAGGAGGGAATATAATGTTTAGTCATTTATCACTTTAGGTAAAGTGTACAAGGGACAGCTTTTGCAGCCAAACAAAAGCACAATTACAGTTGCCATTAAGGCTTTGAAAGAAAACGCCTCAGTGAAAACCCAGCAGGACTTTAAGCGAGAAATCGAGCTAATATCGGACCTAAAGCATCAGAATATAGTGTGCATTTTGGGAGTGGTCCTGAACAAAGAACCCTACTGTATGCTGTTTGAGTATATGGCCAATGGAGACCTGCACGAGTTTCTCATATCAAACTCACCCACCGAAGGCAAATCCCTGTCGCAACTGGAATTTCTGCAAATAGCTCTGCAAATCAGCGAGGGAATGCAGTACCTATCCGCCCATCATTATGTTCATCGCGACTTGGCAGCTCGAAACTGTCTGGTAAACGAGGGTTTGGTAGTCAAAATATCAGACTTTGGACTATCCAGAGATATTTACAGCTCAGATTATTATCGGTAAGATTGTGATTTAAGTGGTTATATCTAGAGATGTTTATGTACTGACAATTGCAATGTTATTTCAGCGTTCAGTCAAAGTCGCTGTTACCTGTACGATGGATGCCCTCAGAGTCGATATTGTATGGAAAGTTCACCACGGAGAGCGATGTATGGTCATTTGGAGTGGTTCTTTGGGAAATCTACAGCTACGGAATGCAGGTAAAGTAATTGAAATTCCATCTAAATTCTCAAAATCTAAGCTTATCAATTTACAGCCATATTACGGATATAGTAACCAGGAAGTGATTAACCTTATTCGTTCACGGCAACTTCTATCCGCTCCGGAAAACTGCCCCACCGCAGTTTATTCCCTTATGATCGAGTGCTGGCATGAGCAATCAGTTAAACGTCCCACATTCACAGATATTTCGAACCGTCTAAAAACTTGGCACGAGGGCCACTTTAAAGCCAGTAATCCAGAAATGTGCGCTTAGGCTTTTACACACACATATGTATTTTCAACGAATGGACTGTAACATAAGTAGACTTAAGAATTTAATAAAATAAAAAATCTTAAAAATCTACGATACTATTTATGTCTTTAAAATCAGTGGGTCTGTTCTTAATATATTATTAATTACAGAAAAAATGTTTAAATAAATTAATTTAAATAACAAAAACCAATTGCCGTTCCTTTATATTATTTTTTTTTTTTGTAACTTTATTTAGTGAGATTTGTTCGTAATAACCATATGGTATTTAAATGTTTTTGTGCCATTGACAATTAAATTATCCAGTTGCAATTCCAAGGGCAACGCCCCCGAAAAATGATGCCAAAAATATGTGCAGATCGTTTACTTTCGGGCCCTGTTCGTCGCCAATTAGTTTGGTATACCACTTGGACACTTTCTTGCTGTTTCTAGTTAACAGGCTTTCCGCCCTATCCAGTTGGTTGTCGACATATCTTTCGGTCTGGAAATACATGGGTAACAACGCCAAAATGTAGGAATTTTTCAAAAAATATTCAGAAAATTCTTCCGACCGTATTCCAATTCATTTTCGGTTGGAAGAGATTTCTTTAGCTCCTTGGAATCTAAACGCTTACCTTATCTTTCCAGTTTTTCTCACGACCTAAAGAAGATTCCACTTTGTCGGCCAGCTTATCAACGGTCTTATCCAACTTTGACCAATTTATTTTAATAAGTCCTTCTTGGTGTGCAATTTCAAGTAAAATAATGCTGCCGCCGACAGCAAAAGCTGCAAATTTGCCAACCTTCATTGTTGTGAATCCTGTGGCCCTAAAAGTACATGAAAATGTTGGCAACATTTTTACAAAATTAACACGGAACATAAAATTTAAGTTTTTTAAGGTATCATAAAACTAATTAATTAACCTGATTTTTTTTAGCTGTAAAGCGCTTTTAATACACCACTGAATTAAAAAAAAAAGTTGCCGGCTTGAACCACGGGAACGTCTTTGGAATATGCCGTCTAAGCTAAAATCTCTAAATTGAAAATTTCTCTTAACTTAAAATATATTTTATATGAATAAAAATTTTAATTTCTCTTGGAATCTTCAATATTCTGAATGGTTTAAGTTGGCTTTAAGGAATATCTCTAAGAACTTAATTGGATTTCTTATAGCAATAAAAGCTCAATTTTGGTTAGTACCTTTTTGTTCCAATTTTTAAATAAGTCATGGCAAGGATTACCTTGGGTTGTGTTACAAATTTAAATTTAATTGTATTATGCATTTCTTTTGTTTCAATTCAATTCAATTCAATTCCCGATCGTTTTAAAAGTGGACATAAAAGATCTCACTTATTTGTCTGTAGGTTAAAAAAAAATATTAATAATTTAAGAAGAAATTTAATTTCAGTAAAATTTAAATA